CCCCAAAACCCCAAAACCCCAAAACCCCGTAAGTTAAAATTTGATCACTATTTGGGGTTAATAAATTAAAGAATCAACTATATTCTAAGAATGTTTTGAACTTTGAAAGCGTTCAAAATTTATCGCATTGAAAGTAAGCTCTAATTTATTTATAGATATGTACTCCTAAATATTTCAAAGCCCGAGAAATCTTCAAGGTAACTGCCTGCAAACTCCAGTTGATCCAGTTTATAATGATCTGCTCAGAAGTACTTAACCAAACTATATAATACCTCAAAAATAGCAAAACTATCACAATTCAGTTAATAATAATTCATCAAGTTACATTCAAGAAGTTCCATAGATATTAAATGGAAGCGCACTCGCATTCTTAGAAAGTTATCATGATAGGCAAGATAGTGAATCTTAAATTTACAATTACTAGAAAGGGGTCTAGGAGGGCTACTCTGACTAGGGTAGGATTCAATAAAATTCTTTTAGCTATTAATGCTAACCCAGAAATTAAAAGTTTGAATGCCAGGCTATGAAATAACCTCAAATAAGTTAGAAAATGCCTGCAATATACAAACAAAATATTCCAAACAGCCTAAATAAATGCTCTATTTGCTCAATTGAGAGCTAAACATATGATAACATGATAGTACAATGTCAAACTTGCTTTAGTTTTATTCATTGGAAATGCTTTAACAGAGGCCAATCAAGTGATGTTCAAATGGTAAGCCACTATCAGAGTTGTGAGAGATGTAGCTATTATAATTTATCATCAACTAGAGATTATCTGAATCCAAATCCTGTTTAATTTGACAAGATTTTCAATTTGAACAGTAACATCAACAATTAATCTCAAAGTAATAGCAGCAATAACCAATTGGTAGTCTCTAATAATTTCAATGAAGAGGGGAGTTTAACAAGTGATCAAAATACTTAGTCGTCATCTTTTGATAGAACTATAACTGAGCACTCTTAGTAATCTTAGGATAGAGGGGAAATTGTTGGAAAGTATAAAAGCAGATCTCCAAGGGCTTCAAGTAGAAGAAAGAAAAATCGGCAAATTGTATTAGATGATGGTTTATTGAGTCCTCTAGACTTAAAAGATAAATAGCTTTGTAGAATGATAAGGAATTATATCTAAGAAATAATTGAAATTATCAATAGAGTTAAAGATATTCACTAAACTGTGGAGTGCTTTGACGGATTGATAGAGGAATTGAATAAAAAATAAGCTCAATAAAGTTAAATTCAAGATTAGAGCTAAATTGAATAGAGCAAGGATTCAAATTAAAATCAAATAGTTGAAGTTTCTAAATATTTTGTAGCTCAAGAGCTAGCCAGTATTTTAAATATAGATAAATAAGCAAAATACACATGGGATTAAATATAAGAAGCTGTTGTAAACTACTGCTAAATAAGTAATGTATTTGATAAATTAACCAATACAATTTTGATCAATAAAAGTTAGCCCCTCTTATCTTTGCTAAGAGGTAAATCTAGTTTCTAGCTCTACTCTCTCCCACTCTCAGCTTTGTAGAATTACTTCCAGATCTTTTTGAGTCCAGCCACTCTAACTAATGATCTTCAACTAGAATTACTCGATAATGACTCGTCTTTACAAATTGTAGATGATAATTCAGCCAAATAGTAATAAGATAAAAAATAGAAAACATTGATATTCACCCAGCTAGGCTAATGGATTTAACTCTTTATACAAGATATTTTCAACTAAATTGATATAAATTATCAAAATGAGATTATTCAAGGGTAATTTACAAGTCAACAATAAAGTCTTAAATTCTAATAAATTATTGCAATTAAAGGTATTTTAACTGATATAGTGTAAGATTTCCTTTTAATACAATGAAAATTTAAGAATAAAACACTGCTAATAGAAATCTAATTTATAATTAATTTTCTAAACTCGAATTTCAAAATTTCGTTTATAAACTATAGTTCATAGGGGTTTTGGGGTTTTGGGGTTTTGGGG